AAACGAAAAAGAAAAAACAACCATAAAGTGTCAGGTTAACAGCAAAAAATGGCTGGTGTTCTCCAGTGAGACGTGCCGGAGCCCAATAAAGTTTTATTGAGAACCAGCATGGGGGAGAGTGGCCATGAGGCGATGAAGGATGGGACGGACCACTGACTCTGAGCAGAGAGACAGGAGCTCCTCGGGTGCTGTGTGCAGGGCTGTGCCCCCCCTCCTGCCTCCGCACCAGGACACGAGCTGCCGGCAGCACGCCGGGGAGCTGGGCGAGCGAGGCAGCGGCCTGCCTGTGTCTTCCCGCGAAGGGCATGGGCTCCAGAGCTGAGGAACGCTCCGTGCACTATAGGCGGGGTCAGCCTGGGCGCTGCGGGGGCTTGGGGCCAGGGGACCTCGGGGCTGTCCTGTGCCTGTGGGGCCCGCAGCTCCCGGGGCCTCTGGCTGCGGAGGCTGGAGCCCCTATGGGTGATCACCGGGCTGCCTCCGGGGACCCGGCACCCTGATGGAGAACCCGCACCAGCACCCGCCTGCAGACACAGCCTCTGCGGTCAGATCGGAGGCTGAGGCAGCAGCTGAGCTTACAGAGGAGCACTCCTCACGCACCTGTAAGCAAAGGCGGATATCCATCCAAGGAATGAAAGGAACCGGCAGTGTGAGCACCGACCTGAGCCAGGAGGTCCCGGTTCCATCCGGTCAGGGCACAGGCCCGGGTGGCGGGCTCCATTCCCCGTGTGGGGCGTGCAGGAGGCAGCCAGTCAAAATTCTCTCTCATCATTGATGTTTCTCTCTCTCGCTCTCTGAAATCAATAAAATACATTTTTATAAAAGGAAAAACCTTGCTTCAGAAGAAGTTTTATATTCCTATTCAGCCACACTTTCATTTTGAGATGGAACATGGTGTAGGGCTTAGAAGATGCCACGTCAAAGTGTCCGTTTCACAAATGTAAACGTGAAGGGCTGCATTGTGGCAGAGAAAGTCGAACTGGAAGGGTGTATGTTGCACAGTCAGGCCAGAATTGTGCGTGTTTTGAAGGAGGCAGGTTGCCGTGGGTACCTTTCTTTCCATGTAAGGCTAAACCGGCACTATGATGTAACACGTGTATTGTTCTTAACTAACTGGTTCTGTCTTTCCTCTTGACCAAAGCAACGGATGTGTATGTGTGTGTGTCTGTACGTAAAGCTGGGCGCTCCTGGCTTGAGAGGCAGGTCTCATGAGTGTCCGCAGTGTTGCCTCGGGCCTGCTCCGGCCACAGTGCGAAGCGGAAGGTGCCCTATGGCCGCAGCCCCTGTGCACCGCGTGGCCATGAATGGCAGTCCTTCGGACGGGGCTCCTGCCCGGGGTTCCGGTTTACGCTCCAGTCTCCTGCTGGTCTGATGCACTCACTCCCCTCCACTCTGCGGGAGGGCTGTCCCCTGCCTTCCGCCACGGCCAGTGAGCAGCCTCCTGGGGCCTCAATCCTCCACCGTGGGGACCGACCGGCGCTCTGCTCCTCAGCCCGCAGGCCCGAGCTGCCCACAGTCAGACCACAGGTGCCATTGAGCTATTAGGCCCTCAGCCCCCAGGCGCTGAGCCCGCCCACAGTCAGACCACAGGTGCCATTGAGCTATTAGGCCCTCAGCCCCCAGGCGCTGAGCCCGCCCACAGTCAGACCACAGGTGCCATTGAGCTATTAGGCCCTCAGCCCCCAGGCGCTGAGCCCGCCCACAGTCAGACCACAGGTGCCATTGAGCTGTTAGGCCCTGAGCCCACAGGCCCGAGCTGCCCACAGTCAGACTGCAGGTGCCATCCTATTAGGCTCTCAGCCCGCAGGCGCTGAGCCCGCCCATAGTCAGACCACAGGTGCCATCCTATTAGGCTCTCAGCCCCCGGGCGCTGAGCCCGCCCACAGTCAGACCACAGGTGCCACCGGAGCTCTGGGCCCAGGGCGCCAGCTCAGCGAGATGCGCTCACTCCCTGGGCCAGCAGGACGCACAGCTGAGCCGAGGGCGGCCCCGCGGAATGGATCGGAGAGAGCCGGCACCTGCTGCTCCGCAGCCCGTGCAGCTGTTTCCTCGGCAGCGAGCAGGAGGGTTCGAGTGTTTTCATGCTTAAGGACTGAACATGCTGATGTGAATGTGCTGGAACTATAAGCCCAGAGGCACCTCAGGCTCAGGGACTGGCCGACAGACAGATGGATGGCACGTTCCCTCCCAGGTGCTGCCACTTACAGCGGCGCCCAGTGCTCCGCATCAGGTGACCTCTCACGCCTCCCATCCCCCAGTTCTGGGAAACCAGGTCAGAGGGCAGTTTCCTGCGCGCGCGCACACACAGGAACAGACACGCACGCATGCATGCACACACACTCACACGTGCGTGCACACACACACGCACGCACGCACGCATGCATGAACACACATGTGCACCAAGTGTGTCTGGTGAGCACCGGGCATTAACACGACTCTGGAGAGAGAGCATTCTTTTTCTTTTTCTCAGAGCTGCTGCTCCAGTTTCATCCCATCGGCGGTGTGGGAATCCCTGGCCGCCTTGGCGATGTCAGTTGTTAATTCCGGCCAGTCTGCTGTGTGTGGTAACACCTGTGTTTAACCGATTACCCCCGTTCCTGGTGGGACCGAGCACTTTTCCCCATGTTCATTGGCCATTCGGGCTTTACGGGTTTTGTTTTTATTATTTCTGATCCTCTCCTGAGGATATGTCTTTATTGATTTTTTAAAATGTATTTAGTTAGTTAATCCTCACCTGAGGATGTTACTACAACAGCATTTTTAAAAACTCCCTCATTCTATTATATTACAATCCTTTAATGTTCTAAACTGAGGTTCCAATTAAAGATGGAAACCATCTACTAACTCAAAACCAGGGACGAATTTTCATCACAGGCCCACTCCAGCCTAACTTACTTAAAAAAATAAACAAATAAATAACGCTACTAACCAAATTGCACTTCTGGGTTCTATGCAAAATAAAATCTCACTCAAGTTGCTTTCACTATAGCCCAGGATCTACTGCCCCCTGCTGGGGGGACTGCCAAACGACAGCACACAAACCATTTCTGCCCAGCACCATCTGTGGGGCCTTACAGTGTCATTGGGTATAACCCTCTGTGGTATGTTACATCTGCACAGCGTTTATTTTATAACTGGAATCTGCACATCTTAATCCCTTCACTTATTTCATCCACCCCCGGCCCCTCTCCCCCCAGGTAAACACTAGTTTGTTTTCTGTCTCCATGAGTCTGTATTTTAGGTCCCACTTATTAGGGAAATCTTCAATAATAATAAAAGCACAATATGCTAATTGGCCCAGACATCCTTCCAGACGACCTTCCAGAGGAAGTTGGGCTGTGAGGGAAGCCAGTGCCAGCAGCAGCGGGAGGAAGGCCTACTCCTGCACCAATTTTGCGCATCGGGCCTCTAGTGCATAAACACGGTAACTTTCGGGGTACAAACCCTGGGAGTATCTATGGTGGGCCCATGCCTCCATGCTAATGTGCTTTCAGAATGAACAGAACTGTCTTCTTCTCCTAAGGGCTCACATTTAGTGGAAGGAAGAGGGAAGCAGGAATGGAGAGAGGGCAAGGCCGAGACCAGGCAGTCAGGGAGTGGTCGGGAGGGTGTGTCTGCCTTCATCCTTCAGCCCAGTTCCTCTGGATGGATGGGCGGGAAGAGCCTGGTTTACGGGGATTCCTGACAGCAGTGTGGCTCCTGTCGGGCCAGGAAGAGGCGGCAGGAAGACCCTCCCCGTGTGTGAGGGTTGGGGACAGGGATCACCAGCTGGGTGCCTGGCACCAGCAGGCAGGCAAGGCTGGTAGGAAAGGTGGATTCCTTATGTTAAAATGTTTCACTAGATGTAACAAATAATAGTACCCCGAATCCATCCATCTAAGTGTCTGCAAGCAGAGTCTTCATTCCCAACACGCACAATGCGCATTCTGTGGTGCCCGTCGCCTGAAATTATGTCCGTGTTTTATTGTGTTAAGGCCTCTAAGGAGGTCAGGCACTCCTGTCCATGAAGATAGTACACAGCTAACCACGAGGAGGCTGGGCCTTTGTTTAGGACAAAGACTGTGCAGAGAAGTTGTTCATTACTGACCTCACCAATGGGGAGGCTGCGTAAGCAGCCAAAAAGGATGCTAGCTGAAGTGCTTTAATAACCATGCAATTCTCCTTCTTCGTTGGCTGTGGATCAAATTTCATTTTTATTTTACTGATTTCAGACAGGAAGGGAGAGGGAGCTATAGAAACATCAACGATGAGAGAGAATCACGGATCAGCTGCCTCCTGCACACTCCCTACTGTGGATCGAGCCCACAACCCAGGCATAGGCCCTGACCGGGAATTGAACTGTGACCTCCTGGTCGATGCTCAACCACTGAGCCACACCAGCTGGCTGTGGATCAAATTTTAAGTATCAACTAACAAGATAACCCAAAGGAACCTTGTTGATAGTCAATTACCCTGGTTTTACAGCAACTTTATGCTGATTTGTATACGGATTCAATACGAAGAACTTATAAAATCTAATAAGTGATGGTGAGATGATAGATTCTGAAATCCTAGAAATCATCATAGTATGAAATACATACTTTATGTCTTAGAAGAACTGAATGTTAACACACAGAAAAATGCTCCTCACAGACATTTTTAATCATGTGTTTATTGGGTTTTTAATATATATAAATTTTTAAATATATAAACTCTGAAAATACATCAGGACTGCCGGACAATGACTTCCTGCGCCCTCCCATTCTGCCGCACCATAGCGGTGCCCTGGCTGGGGGTTTCCCTGAGACAGAGTCGTGAATCCAGTTACAATCATCAGTCAGGGGTTCCTTTGTCTACCGCGGACATCTTTCCTCACATTTAAATGATTCTTCCGTTTCCCCTAAAGGCTGTCCCTCTCTCTGGCTCCAGTGTAAGACCTCACCCCAAACTCTCCTGAGTTCTGGAGAAGGAAAATCAAACTGTGGCCCCAGGTCAGGCGTAAGCACGTCACCCACGTGGCTGACTTAATTGCCGGGTGCCCAGAAGCATTCTTTGTTTCTCTTCCAAGATGACGATTCTTCATAGATTTCCTAAAAAACAGAACCGTGACAGGGACTCAGGATCACCATTCACATCTGCTCCCCTCTCAGCAATCCCATGGCGTTCACATACGGCACGGAGAGCAGAGATAGGCATGAACATGTCCCTGCACACAAGACGCCAACCCGGAGGGGAGCCTGGACAGGAGCCTTCACGGGGACGAGGGGCAGAACAGGGACGGACTCCCGGGCCCAGGACGGGGCAGCCGGGCAGGCAGAGGGGTGGGCGGTCTTAGTTCTGAGCAGGTTCCTCTCCACACACACCTCTGCTCCCACAGCCTCCCTGCGCCGGCCATGGGCAGAGGCCACCGGAGACGTGACCGCAGCAGCTCTGACAGGGATAGTGCCCGCCCACCCACTGCCCGCATCACCGAGGACCTCCAAGCACAGGCCCACCCATCCTGGAACCTTCCCTCCTTACTCCCCAGCCAGCAGAACCCCAAATTCACTGTCCCCCGACACCTGGACCCCGTCCCACCGCCGCTCAGCTGCAGCTGGTGGGCTGACCCTCCTGCCAGGCTCGTGATCACGGTGGGGTGTCCTCATGGTCGGGGGCCCTCACGGTGGGGGCCCTCACGGTGGGGTGCCCTCACGGTGGGGTGTCCCCACAGTGGGGTGCCCTCACGGTGGGGGCCCTCACTGTGGGGTGCCCTCGCGGTGGGGTGCCCTCGCGGTGGGGGCCCTTGCTCCCTCCTCAGGAGCCTCCCCGCTCCGTGGACACGGCCTGGCTCAGAGCACACCACCCCCATGGGAGCTGCACCGCGGCCCCTGCCACGTCCACCCTCTCGTTTCCCCGCTAACAGGCTGCCATCTCCATTCGGGAAGCCCGGCCCCACATCCCACGGCTGGTCAGGTCCACTGGGGGCCCCGCCCGTACCCCGGCCCTGGCTGCTGCTCCCCACACACCCCCCTTCTGCTCAGCGCCACCTCGCTGCCGGCCGCCCACGGCAGACCGGCCACTGCCGCTGGTGGAGCAGGCTCTCCCCGCAGAGGCCGCCGCTCACCGCGGGGCTGGGCGACGGACGGCCGTGCGTCTCCCCTCCACACGTCACACCCACGCCCCGCGCCCCCGGAGGCAGTGCCCCTCTCCTCTCTGGAGGAGGGACTCTGTGCTGGCACCTCGCGGCAGCCGCACGCTGCCATCTGCAGGAGACCCCGTGGCTCAGGGACCCTAACCGAGGGCTCCGCAGCCTGGGAGTCGCCGGCTCACGCTCCGTCTGTTTTTCATGGTTCACACTCCCTGGAGAAAGGAGCCTGTATAATAAAAGGTAATGCTTTCTGGACGGAGCGGGACTGTGAGGGCGGAGGCGGCGGGCGGGGCCGATCCCCTGGCAGGAATCCCGGCGCCGCCTCCGGTTCTGCGCAAACACCTGCTTTCAGGCTGAGGCCGCGGAGCGAGCGCGTCGGGGAGACCACGGGCGCACACGCTGCGTGCGCTGTCTGCTGAGAATTCCGGAGAAGCCCGCCCCCGGCAGAGCGGCCCCTCCGGCACCTTCTTCCACACCGGCACCGAGGCCTTCAGGGCGTCGATGGCGTAGCTCACGGCTCCGAGGGACGCAGCCCGGTGGGCCGAGGACACGGCGATGACGACGCTGGCTTCGGCCACGGGGACCAGGCTGCAACGAACGGAGGACCCGTGACACCTCCTCTGACTCTGCTCCAGGCTCACGGCCCGCGGACAACCCGAGACGCTCCCCGCACTGACCCGCCTCCTCTCTACGGAGGAGCCAGACCAACAGGCACCGCGGGCGGAGCCGCAGAGAACGGAAACGCCACACAGCAGCACGCAGCGCACTGGACCGACAGCCTGCAGTCTGAGTGCGGCCCCGGCAGGAGGAGGCAACACGCTGCCATGACGCCCCAGTCTCAGCTGCTGGGCCCCGCTCAGAGCCTGCGACCCACGCTCCTTAGCGACCAGAGTGCCTTCACAGGCATGTGCCCCAGAGCGTCTTCTCTCCATGTAACAGTCTGGGCGAGAGGACTGTGCTCTAACAGCCTCCAGGACTGCCCCCCATTCGCAGCCGTGCGGCCGGCTCAGGGCTCTTGCCTGCCGGAAGCTCATTCCAGCAGGTCGTAAATGCAAGACATTTCATCAAAAGGCTGATGGAACCTTGAGGACTGCCTGCTGGAAATGGCTGATTTCCCCACACCTAAACATCTGCACGGATGACTGCTGGCTGCCAGACAGCTGAGGGCATGTCAATCTACATGCTATTGCCTCCCGCTGGCCAAACACCTGAACAGCCACAGGCAGTTCCCCCAATCCAACAATGCCTCTGCGTACTAAACCTTGGCCTTTGAAATGACTAGGACAATTTGTGTTAATAAAAAGCAAGGGGTCCAGAAAGAGAGAGAGAGAGAGAGAGAGAGAGAGAGAGAGAGAGAGAGCTTGTTTTCTTTCCCTAAGTCTTCTCTGGCTCCCCAAAATGCACCCAAAATTATGTTTCCTCCCTGGACTCTTGACTAATTCACACACAGCGCCCTCTCCAGATTCCTGAGCCCTTCTACTCGCCGAGGAACACACGCCGGCATTACTCGCCCACCTGGGCACAGCGGCTGGCACTGTCCAAACGTTACAACGGAACAGGCAGCCTTAACAGCGCTGGGAGGCGCCTCGGCCGCCTGCAGGAAGCACGCAGCGTCTCTCCCCGTGAGCCAGGGCCTGTGACACCGCGGGTCCGCGCCAGCACGGAGGTGAGCCGGCACCGAGGGAGGGGCCGTACCCGAGCCTGTGGAACACCGCGATGTGCCTGACCGGCCACTTCTGCCTCAGGTCGCTGCAAATCCTCCGGACTTCGCTTTCCGCCATCGGGACGTACGCTTCGTACTCCAAGCTCACGACTTTTTTCCCTTCAAAGTGATTCCTTGTGGTCCCTAAGAGGAAGGGGAAAAAAAGGCAATAAAATAAGGTTTCTCCTTATAACAGAAATGGCACGGTAAAAACGGGTTCTAACTTTTTAAGTACATTTTTACTGACTTTTTTTTTAGAGAGGAAGGGAGAGGGAGAGGAAGAGAAAAACCCACGTGAGAGGGAAACATCACTTGGCTGCCTCCTGCACGCCCCTACTGGGGATTGAGCCCGCACCCAGGCACATGCCCTGACCTGGAACTGAACCGGCAACGTTCTGATGCCTGGACGACATCCAGCCGCCTGAGCCACACCGGCCAGGGCAGAAAAGGGGCTGTTTTGGAACAGACAGTAGCCTACAGATCTGTCTATGATGACTGTGAAATATTCTGAAGATGAACATGATGAGAACAACAAGAGGACTGTCCCAAATGGAAGACAGTAAGACGCGCTGACGAGGCAGCCGGACGGGGAGACTCTCCTGTGACAAACCAGCACCCGTTCTCTTCCGGCACACTTGCCACTGAGAAGGAGCGCTCCGTCCCCGGGCTGTCACGGAGGCCCCACCACCACCGTCTCCCCTGAATGTTTGGACACACAGGATTCTCTCTGCTCAGGGCGTCTGTCCTGCTCGCCTGAAGATCGCTAACACAAAGCCAAAGCCGGAGGCCCCCCCTCCCCCACCCCGTCCCCTTGGCTCAGCGTCTTACATCCGCCCTGACACTCGGCGCGTAAACACTGCCGTCCGGCAGCGAAAGCGGGGGACACGCTCACCCACAAACAGGGACACGGCTCCGCAGAGCGGGGACGTCACCAGCTGCGAGACCTCCTCCACCGACAGCTTCTCGGCCGTGAACTTGATGATGTCTTTGGGTTCCTCTTCCTCCTCCCCCACGTCTGCCCTGGAAGAGAGCCAGTAACCTCGGCGTCAGTGCAGAGGCCACAGGCTGCGTGTCCGGGCGCGTCTCCTACGTGAGAGGTGCTGGGAGGAGGATCTGAGCTGAATGATACCAATAAGCGCGCAATTAAAAAAAAAAACCACAGTGTTTTTTATAAATACCCCGAACGAGTCGAGTATGGTACCAAAAGGAGTTTACCATGAACGCGATCACTAAAAGCCGTGGTTCTCAACCTTCCCGATGCCGCGGGGGCACAGTGGGTGAGAAATACCCAGGCCTCCGTGGCTGCGCCGACGCACAGGAAAACCCCAATAAGCCGCGCTGAGTGAGGAGGACCACGCCTCCGAGTGGCATGACTGAGCTGCCGGCACAGAACTGAGGCAGACACGGCAGGGAGGTGTCAGGTCCGTCCGCACAGACACGGGCTGTGCCGGGACAGCGAGCTCGCGAACACTCACAGGGCGTGCGGTCCCCGCCGTCTGCAGACAGGCGACACCTGCCAGACCCTTCACGGCGGAAGGGAACACTCACCGCGCAGGCCCCCCGGAGCGCCCGGCACTAGCCTCCGCTGATGGGGGGGATGATGGCGACCTCGTCTCCTTCCCGAAGCAGGAGGAGCTGATCTCCGAGCTGGACATACTCCTGCCGCACAGCCAGGATCACCTGGTTCCTGACATCGGCCAGCCTGAGGGGAGCAAGCAGAGTGAGCAGTGTCAGAGCTGTGCTAGGCCTCCAGGTCTCCAATGGAAATTAGGTGACATAAGCCCTGGTCGGTGTGGCTCAGTGGACAGAGCATCGGCCAGCACGCTGAAGGGTCGCAGGTTCGATTCCGGGCAAGGGAATGTACCTCGGTTTCAGGCTTGATCCTTGGCCCTGGGTGGGGCCTGTGTGGGAGGCAGCCAGTCAATGTGTCTCTCTCACATCAATGTTTCTCTCTCTCTGTCTCTCCCTTTCCCTTCCACTCTCTCTAAAAATCAACAGAAAAATATCCTCTGGTGAGGACTGAGAAAACAAAAGAAATATAAGACATAAATATCACTTTGTAGCATCGCCTGCAGAGTTACTAATGAAAGTAACTTATACGCTGCAGAGAAAAGACGCATCCACCGGAGAGAATTCTCAGTCACCACCAAGAACACAGTCAACTGCCAACAGCTCTCACTGCTGCTGTGTGTCTTAGGGAATGAAATACCGAAAAGATAAAAGACTGAAGGTAACACTCAGACCAGGTCAAAGGAAGAAAGGAAAAAGAAAAATGTCCTGATTCCAGGAGCCTTCTAAGGGTACAGTCTACTAGTGTACCCCAGGAGTCCCCCCAAGACAGGAGTCTCCGGCAGATGAAAGGTTAAAGGTCGGGTAGGCAGAGGCCCTGCATGGGCCACAGGTTATCAGGGCACTTTAAGAGCAGTTTAAAAGATACAAAATAAAATATAAGTCGTTTTTTGAACACGTGTTGTGAGGTATCCTTTACACGGTGAACCTCGCTATGGACTAAGTGACACCATTAATGTTCCTGATCACCTTCCAGGAAGCCACGTTGTCCAATTTGTCCCCAAAAGAACGTGAGGCAGGGACAACAGCAGAAACAGGACACCGGCTATTGCAAAACGTAGACTCAGCCGCCCTGGTTTGCTATCTCTCATTTTTATCTTAATCTCAGAAACTTCTATTGACTTCTCAGAAGACTGGCAAGACAAGCACACATTGTAACAGAATGTGTAACCACCTCACTCCTGCTGCGAAAATGCAGCAGCTGCACGCTGGCTCTCGTGAAACCACAAGAGCGAACGGGAGCCTGTCGGTCTGGGCGCAGCTCACCGCTTCTGGGTGAGCCTGCTGGAGGACGAGGGCTGGCCTCCCCAGAGCGGTTCCCGACATCACGGGAAACACAGCCACGTTCACTGCGGCCGTGTGTGCACCCACACATTCTAGATTGCTAGGAAGCTCCACACTTTACCCCGGATGCCGCGTCTCCAGCTCAGCCCACAGCTGCGCCGCCGGGAGCTCCTGGGGCACAGAGACGGTCTCCGCGCGGGTCCCGGTGATCTCCGCGCTCTTCGCAAAGTACAGCACCTGGACCTGCGAGGGAGAGGATGGATGCTCTATAGCCATCACGGTCTTTGTCTGGCACAGGTGCTACCTTTTTGTCACGGACACACTGGAAAGCGAGGGAACGTTAAAGCGCCGAGCGTTTGTGCATTTTGACAATACTGGTGTGTCCAGCCCATTCTCACTCGGTTCCAGTGCTGGTCAGCTCTGCAAACGCCCGAGAGCCCCTGCCCGCACCCGGGAGAGCGCCGCTGCGCCCAATGACTCCTCAGAGAGCGACACGAGGCGGCCTCCATTGACCGGGTCAGCACCTTCTATGAGCCGGTGAACAGTGACCTGGGTCCGGGTGCAGCTGGCAGAGGGGCCGGGAGGTGAGACTGCCTTTGGGGCCGCCCTAGCCTGGCACCACGCCTGGCCCCGGGCTGGTTATGCAACCGCAGCCACAGGGCACAGAGCGGGAGCGGGCTGGGCTGCTGTGCAGGCCGAGCAGGTTCCAGAAGCAGGTTCCAGCACCGGCACCGGCACCGGCACCTGCCCCTGCCCCTGCCCCCTGCCCCTGCCCCTGCCCCTGCACCTGCCCCTGTCCCTGTGCCTGTGCCTGTCCCTGTACCTGCCCCTGCCCCTGTCCCTGTACCTGCCCCCTGCCCCCTGCGCCACTGCAGCCGCCCGCGGGCGCACACACGGAGGAGCCGCGCGCGGGAGGTTCTCGGTGCTGATCTTCGGGGCGCCCACCCAGCACCCACACCTGCCGGTGGGCGCTGCGCTGAGCTGGAACCGGGGGGCGGGGCTCTGGGAAGGGGAGGGGGGTCCTGGGGGCGGATCTTCTAAAGCGAAACCTGTCTCCAAAGAAGGAAGGACCTAGGACGGGGCAAAGGTCAGGGCGCCCCTGGAGAGGGAGGGCGCCGACAGGGAGGGAGGGCGCCGACAGGGAGGGCGGGCGCCCTTAGGGAGAGAGGGTGCCCACAGGGAGAGAGGGCGCCCACAGGGAGAGAGGGCGCCCACAGGGAGAGAGGGTGCCGACAGGGAGAGAGGGTGCCCCTCGGGAGGGAGGGTGCCCACAGGGAGGGAGGGTGCCCACAGGGAGGGAGGGTGCCCCTCGGGAGGGAGGGTGCCCTCAGGGAGGGAGGGTGCCCTTAGGGAGGGAGGGTGCCCACAGGGAGGGAGGGTGCCCCTCGGGAGGGAGGGTGCCCACAGGGAGGGAGGGTGCCCCTCGGGAGGGGGGCACGGCGCCGGCCCTGGGGTGCGCTGGGCGGCGCACGGTCCCCGGCTGGAGGGCGCGGGCCCGGCCCGCAGGGAGCGGCGGGCTGGGCGGAGCGGCGCCGGAGAGGCCCTCACCTGGCAGCGCCGCACCATCCCGCCGGCGGGGTCCGCGGCCGGCCGGGGGCGGAGCCCGGCGCACGCACGGCGCAGGCGCACTGACAGCCGCCGCACTGCGCACGCGCCCGCGATCGCCCCGCCCCTCGCCCCGCCCCGCTCGCCCCGCCCCTCCCAGCGCCACTGGGCCCGGAGCCCGGGGGCCGCCCGGAGCGGGTGCGGGGCCGCAGGGGGCGGGCGGCCAGGCAGGGGCGGGGCTGGCCGGTCCCCGGACCCTCACCTGCGGGCCCCCGCCGCCCGCGGGCCGCCCCGTCCTCCCTTTACCAGTTTATTGGCGGCGGCGGCGGGGGCGAGGGCGTCAGGGGGGGCCTGGACCGCCGCCTCCCGCTCCCCGCGCGGGGAGGGCCCGCAGCCCGGCCTGAGCGGACCGGACCGGACCGGACCCCGGGCCCGCGGCGGAGGCCCCGCCTCCCGCCGGCCCTTCGCCCGCCTCCGGCGCCGGGCCGCTCCTCCAGGCGCGGAGCTTCCGATCGGAGCGACCTTCTCCGCTCGCGGCCCAGCGGCTCCGGCCGGTGCGGGCCGCCCAGCCCCGTGCGGACCGGGCCGGCCGCGGGGCTCTGCGGTGCGGACGGGGGGTCCGGCCCTGGGCGCTCAGGCCGGGGTCACCCACGGGCACGGGGCTCCTCCGGGGGTCACACCGGGACCGGCACCTGGGGGGCGCTCAGCGGGAGGGAGGGCATTTCCGGCCAGAGGGGTGCAGCTTAGGGAGGCCAGGCGGTGCCCCCAGCCAGGGCAGTGGAGGTGAGGCTGGAGGTACCAGGGAGTGAGCCAGGGCAAGAGACATGGACAAGGACCGGCAAGACCGTGGTGAGCATCACAGATACAGGATCATACTCACATTCAGACTGGACCACGGGAGACGACAGTGACCTTAGCCTGGCCAGGGACGTCCAAGGCCAGCCCATGGCGGGGCAATGTCTACAGCATGGCTGAGAGCCAACGCAGGAGCCAGCAGGTGACAGTCAGGCTGGTGCTGAGGGATCCAAGTCTCCGGCCTCAACCTGCAAACTACAACCGAAGGATGGCAGCGAGCACCTCAGGCAGAAACTGCTGATTGGCTTCTGTACTTACTTGTTTGCTAAAACACTAGGACGTTATTTTGATTTTCTGAACTTAGGAATGCTATCCCAATACCCCATGGATGGTGGTCTGAATGTCCCATTGATTGTGATCTCACTGGTCACTGAAGCACATTCTTCTGGCACCCAGGACAGCTCAATTACCCTAAATTGCCTCAGTAGCTACAGATAACGAGTTTTGGTTGGCTTAGTGGTCCCGGAATCTGGACAGCACAATTATTCTAAATCGCCCGGTGGTCCCAGATAACGTGTTTCTGTTGATTCAGTGATTCGCAGATACTTTAGATAACTAGCTTGCTCAGTTTTGCTTCTGTAACTGCTTTGCACAAACCAGGTTCCTCGTTCCAGACCCAAAGATGCAATCCATACCTTTGTGACATTCTGCCCATAAGCCAGATGTGGCTGCTGTTCGGGGCTGTGAGGTTTGGAGGCTCACTTGCTCCCTTGTATGCCACCAGCTTTTAATAAACGACTCCGTAATTTGACTTCTTGAGGCGTCCTTTCTAAGATGGGGGTACACAACAACATGCACAGCAGCCCAGAGCCCCTCAGAAACCTCCCCGGGCAGGAACCCGCCATCCTGAGAGGCAGCAACCTGCACACTCAGCAAGAAAGGGGGAATGGCAGTCAATAAAAGAAGCGAGACCTTAACCCCCTTACGTATAAAACAAACCATCAACGCGGGATTGTGGTTAGGGGGTAAACTATAACTGATGCCAGAATATTTTAAAAACATAACAAATGGCCCCAAATTGGGACTTGTGTTTACAAACATTGATTCAAGCCTCAATGTTTTTCATAATCTCCTTCCTACCAGGAGCCACTGCAAACGATCTTAAAAATGTGGCGCCGAAGCCGGTGTGGCTCAGCGGTAGAGCGTCGGTCTGCAGACAAAGTTCAGGTTCGATTCCGGCCAAGGGCATGTACATTGGGTGCGGGCACATCCCCGGTAGGGGGTGTGCAAGAGGCAGCTGGCCGATGTTTCTCTCTCATCGACGTTTCTATCTCTCTCCCTTCTCTGTTAAAAATCAATAAAATATATTTTTTTGAAATGTGACGATTTCTAATTCCTTCAGTTTCACTGTTGTTAAACTCAAGCACTGTTAGTTAAAAGCTACCAATAAATACCGTGCAGT